ACTTTAGGTCCTGCACTCGAGGCGGGGATCTTCCGGTCGCGAACTTCTGCCGCCGACCAATAAACAGCGCACGTGGTGGCAGAATCCCGCTAGATCGACAGTCACCGCCTTCTAGAATCATGGACCCTACCGCCCGCCCCACCAATCAGACGCGGCATCCGGACGCAACCGGCTGACCTGGCAGCATTCCGGCATGGCTAAGCTGTTGTCTCTCCACGCCATCCGGTGCCGAGGGATGCACTCAACCCCCCCAACAAGGAAGGAGGCCAGGTGAGCAGGTCGGAGATGATGCTGACCTGGCGGGTAGCGCTGCGGAGTAACCGTGTCCTACACGATCATGAGGTGGGGGAGATTTGGCATGGAGATGAGGGGTTCCCTCGGGCCTCAGACGGTCAACGGTTAAATCTCGCTATCTACAGTCGACACACTGGATGCGTTGCTCCCATTGACTTGTCAGCCCCTCCTTGCATATGTGCATGCTGACAGATCTCCAGAGTCAAAATTCCATAGCGGTGCCAATCGTGTTCCAACTACCTTCCAGATGACACAGGGGCAGCTCTAGCCCAGGCCCCCGATTCACTCAAAAGTACGTGGGCGGGCCGGCGGTCGTTGTCACAGCCCGCAGCCGATCTAGATACATACCCAGGACCGATGTTGGTGCGGCAGACATGGGGGACGCATGTCGATACCTAGCCGATCTACTAAGATTAGTACCTTAGTCCGAGGGATCTTGGCGCTCAGACGCAGCCATTAGCCAGTGGGAGGGCGTCTAGCGATCACGTTGCGGGACGCAGTCCTTCTGCTTGCTGATAACGACCACATCTACCTGGAACCTTAATCAACGCCCATCCTGGCTCCTAATCTCACCAATGTATGGTCCCATCTGGTTCAGCATCGTATCCACGGCGGACGGACGTATCAGAGGGGATTCCACATGGTCATTGAACCTGCCGTATCCCTTGCGTGGATGGATCTCTGGTACGTGGCTGTATGCCGGCCACGAGAGACGATGGCTGCGCGGCCAGAAACGTGGGTCATTCTTGTGTCTCGGTCACGGATGAGTGCTGCAGTTGACAGCTGCTCAGGTTACCTACCTTGAACTACATCCAGGCGGACATATCCGATTCTACCTCCGGGGTACGGAGTACCGCGCAACAATACCTACCTATCTCAGTAGTATCGTCGACCATCGGGCCTCCCTACACGGCAGGTTCTTCTGTTTTCCGGGGGCCAATGACATTCAAGGATTCACCCCGTGCCTGCTCCGTGTATTCTTGATGGCAACGGCATACCCCTATAGTCCCGGCACTTTGCACCCTGTGATATAATCCTGCTGATCCAAATTACATGCTACCCCTAATGATCCTACAGCCCCTGTTCCTTCAAATCGCCTTTCGGCTTCTGCAGGGTCCGTTGGGGCGCTCGTTTAGGCCGACTGCCGTGATCCTTCATCTAGCGTGGGCGAAGCAGCTAGCCACGCCTGCCCGCATTAGTGAGCCCGGGGACCGAGACCCCCTGGTCAGCGTTTGGGGGGGGGGCGACATCCGATAGAATGGAATTCGGTCGGACTGCCTTGTTGGTCTGGCTCTCGCAGGGCTCTCACATTGTCGGCCATGCGAGAATAAAGGCGCAAAAGATGGTGGTCAGACGGCGCCTCCGTTCTGTATAGAGCGGTCAGGACATCCCGAATACGGTCAATCGACGCATCTTCTCTCGCTAGCGGATCAGTCTTGAAACACGAAGGAATCAAAGGAGTGGCTCATGACGTAACATGAGTTGGCTCATGAGCTGGGTTTCGACGCTGAGCACCAGGTAGGTAGTACGAAGCAATCGATAGGATGGCCTATCCGTGGTAAAAAACCCCACGCATCACGGTTCATGTGATGATTAGCTTGCATAAAATTGAGATTCTTTCTAGCCTTCTGGCTTGATTCGACGGATGTTCTTGCGCTCTTCCGAGAACCGAGCGTGCATAATCGCATCCTCGATCCGGGTAAGTTGTATCAGTGCTGCATTATTGCACTAAGAATAGTGTCTGCCGCTGCGCTACAACATCAATCAAGATCCCTCGCCTAATGCAAGGTAACCCCATCGGGATATTGAACTATCGACACGTTGGTTTGTCTTGTTTCATCATATTGACATCCCACGCCACGCAATCAACCAGCTGACTATACGGATTTCTCTTAGTCAAGCTTGTTGCCTCGTTGTGGCATAAGCGCAAGGTGGCAAGGCTGCCGCTAACATGTACGGAGGCGGAATTCTCTTATTTCCGATACTAAGAGCGAAGTGCCCCTTGCATGACGCGGCTCTGCTCAACTATTGTTCTCGGGTGTCACGTCTAGCCAAGATTAAGCGGTCTTGAATGCTTAGCTTCTGGTGTAACCATCTGACTCGAGTATGACGGAGTCAGGTAATGCGCTCATCTGCCGTCAGCTGCGCATCTACTTCCTGATTGAACAATCCAGGTAAATTTGGCTTTGCTTACATTTTTGTAAGCACTTCTACCATTCTTTTCAAGATTTCAATGTAAAGTCTTGTCTCTAGGAGTCATAACAAAGCATTTACCTGGACATTAGGCAGCGGCTGTGCAACTTGACATGTGGGCTCATATCAGGGTTGCTTCTTCCTAACCAAACTAAAATCAGCCTCGGACACTGCTGATGAAACATGTTCTCTATTGGAATACATGCTGAGACATGCTGCAATCATAGCATACCTAAGGGTAACACATTTCTATAGGGCATATCGTATCCCAGTTAATACTATACAGGTGTACTCCGAGTTACTCCCCCCTCCCCCTTTCAAAGTACTTCTAGTATTGCTAGTTGCAGAAAGTAGATAGTCCCGGATGCTCTATATGAAGGGAGCCTATATAAGCCATTCGAATCGAGTCCCTCCCGATATCCTCTGAATATGGGCGAAACACGAAGAGTTGCCGGCGACTATCTCCATAGCCATCTGGATACGACCCTTGCGTATACCATAGACAGACAAGGCCCGTCTATATAAGAGACAGACAGTTGCAATGAATAAGGTATGCTAAGCAGCCTACATCGGTCTCGACTCTTGGTAGCTGTACTTCTACCTTGCAAATGTCATGGACTATACACTGGGGAGAGTCTGACCATCTGAAGCAATTGGTGGGAGAGAGGTATTCTAAATCCTGCTTCTGTCACCGGATCCAACCATCCGCGATTGGGTCAAAACTGTAAGAGACTCTTTCAATGAACTACAGAATTCCTCTGATCCTATCCTCCGAGATTATTACCTTGGACTCATGGCTCGTAATAGAAGACTAGCTGAACAGGCAGTTGACAAAAGAAAAATCGAGGACATACAGAACATACTCCTCAATGGGGCACAGAAACAGGTTTCTGGATATGACGATTGTTCGGGAGCACAAACGATAGTTTGTAGTGATTTTTGTTTCATCATATCCCGATCTTTTGACCTAGGACATCGGGTTGTTGATCTCGTACAAGTCCGACTTCATCTTACAGAAACTCCTAATGGCCAGGCCTATGCCCTGAAAGCTCTACCGACAGACCCTGCAAGTCGATTGGCGGTTTCTATCAAAGGGACTGGAAAGGATGGCCCCTTCCACGTCTGGTTATTCAGCCACGGGCGGCTTATAGTGAGAAAGATGAATTCCTTGGTAGACGCGTTGGAAGGCTACACACTGGGGCAATCGAACGCATTCGATCGCCGATGGTTTGTTCAAAGGAAAACTGGGACTTCTGCGATTTACACATGAAAGTACTTGACAGGTGGTGTTATTTGCGGTCGGCAAATTGGTCCATTTCGGGGGTATTTGTTTCTATTACCACTTCCTGGCTGAGGCTTTTGGTTTGGTTGGAATACACATGAAAATCAACATTTCTTTCTGCCTGACTGGCCATATAGAACCTAGAAGTTGGCAGCATGACATGTCAAGGTTTCTCGATATTCGCTAATCGACAATTGCACACGTTGTGCGATCTTTCTCTTTAATCCAGAATATGCATCACATCATGTCCAACAACTTTGCAACGTTGCTAGGTGTAGATAGGCGCATTGCAAACACCAGGTTTGTTAATAACCAGAGATTTGGAATATATAGGCTAAATCAATCCAACATTACAGCAACCCTTGATGGTCTAGTTGGTTATGGCGTCTGACTGTAATATTGTATTGTGATCAGAAAATCCCTGGTTCGATTCCGGGTCGAGGGACATATTTTTGCATGGTTGATCTAATATAAAAATTTATATTCTATTTTTTTTTTTACATCAAGACTACTGTACCAAATCCAAAGCCAATCTTCTGTGTTGATTTGACAGAAGATATCCGGATATCAAACCTAAATTCTATGCTTTGTTGACCAACCAAGCCTTAGATCTATATAGGCAAGATTTTCACCAGTATGAATAATAACCCCTGATGGTCTAGTTGGTTATGGCGTCTGACTGTAATATTGTATTGTGATCAGAAAATCCCTGGTTCGATTCCGGGTCGGGGGACATCCTTTTTGCTTTTTTGTCAATCTATTATCCTATCGGATCAGCCTACAGTATGCTTGATCTGCCACGCGCATTAGCGCCAAGCAACCGAACTCAATCTCTAACCTACCTACTGCGTACTAAATATATAATTGCAAGTCCCGGCTGCGACAACTCCACATATACAACTCTCAGCAGAATGATACCATTGGCAATTCTATACTGTTAACTAACCCCGTTAGCGAGGACATACGGACCAACTTTTCCGGGTACCACTCGAGCTCATCACCCCGTACTTTAGCCTCTGTACTATATGTACACATCTGACCCAAACACAAAGTAGCACTGCGCCTTGTGTATCGCTCTCACCCTTACCAAGCCTGACCAGTCAGTATAGATACCCTTCTTAGATGATATATGATAGTAATTAAACTCTTTACAATGCTTGCACTGACTATGAGTGATCTGATCTGATCCGATCCGCTCATAAACCAAGACCAGCCTCTGGACTCTCAGCAACCCCTGATGGTCTAGTTGGTTATGGCGTCTGACTGTAATGGTTTCTATTGTGATCAGAAAATCCCTGGTTCGATTCCGGGTCGGGGGACGTAAAGCTTTTTTTGGTTGGGCAGGTCTTATCCTGGGTTGGGAGATTGGCTGTTAGGTTCGGGGTGTTTTTGTTGGGTTGGATGGTGTTTTTGGGTGGATGGGGAGACCTCTTTATGGGGTAAGGATTGGGCGTTTGGAGAGTGGATTAGCTGGGATTGTTGTGTTCTATAATTCTACTTCTTAAAAGATGAGTAAGGAGATGGGCTGAGGATTAGGGGGTGGAGTATTATGAAGATGGAGATGGGGAGGAGGGAAGGTTTCCGTCACGGAGTGGGTGAGGGATAAGGCAACGGAGGTGTTGGCTACGGGATGGGACGTTCAAACGAGGGTGGTGTATGATTGATTTGGTTATATAGGGTCTATTTGGATCTCGAACCGGGTAGAGCTTGTAGACATCATACTGGGAAGATCTGTTGAATCTTGACAGAGCAGGATCAGGAGACCTACATACAATACTAGGCTATTCTTTCGTACAGAAGTCAAAGTAGCACGAATCAAATTACATAGGAGAAAGCATAGGTCTACAGGTGAAAGATAGAATGCAATGACCGCAGCCCCATAACACAATAGTATCAGAAGAAGAGATACAGTCTAGTGTCCAAGAGCTGGCGACTTCCAGGTCGATCAAACAGGATATACAAACTGCAATTGGGGGTGACCAAGCAGAGCTTTAATGTAGCTACGAATGACCTAAGGGACAACATTCCTCCGAAGCGGCCTGTTTTGTGTCGTTCTGTTCCTCGGGCTTTCGCAAAGTGCCATCTTTGTGTTGTTCTTCCACGTAAACCGGCAATTCACGACTGTGTTCAGGTCTTTGTCAGGTGTAATAACTGATATTGATGTGGGGAACTGTCCTGGTTCATCCCACGAGAGATTGCTTGGGGCAAATCAAACCATTGGACGGAATGTGATTCTGTCAAGACGAGGAGAGAAAGCTAGGATCTACCGCCGTCTCGCGATCATATTATACAGGCCGATGGGATTTCCCCCCGTGTTGGGGTCGATGGCCCCGGGATCCATGCTCTTATACAGGGATGGGACCAGGAGATTAAAGCGTGGGTCATGTAATCGTTGCACACATATGGGAAATTTCAAATCCACTGTCTCAACGCGAAGACGGGGGATCTGGTCTCCAATTCTGTGGCCGTCTCCCATTATCCGGCGAAGAATAGCCATCCGTAGTATGGCAGGTAAGGCGTGATAACCTGAGCGGGCGTTCAAGTAGCCTTTATCGGCCAATGTAGTATCCTGAAGAATGAAGTAAACCCCTACCGGGGTCCAATATTTTCTTCCCTTCACCCCAAAGACATCTGGTTAGATTATTATGCAACGGGGTTTTTTAAGGACATGTTCAATGACGGCACAGGACTAGTCGTCTGTCAGTGTTGCTAGTGTAATTGTAGCTCCTGGCCCACTGCAGCAGGTCGTTCGATGTAGTATGGCCGGGTTGAAAAGGCGATTAGTATCTGTTGGATGACTAATTAGTCATCTGATCCTCGGCCCCCTCTTAGTTAGGATCTGTAGCCACACTCAATCAAGAGCTTTAAGACTTTTTTTTTAATAGGTTATAAGCCCCCTTGCTCACTCCTGTATTTTTTTAACGTGTTAAATAGCTTTATATTATTATTAATATACCATTTTTTATTTTTTTATTATATAAGCGCTCTGTCGCGCGTGATTTATTATTAAACTTAATAAGACTTTCTGAATTAATCTCTATAATGGAAAATTTTTTTATATATCTGAAATTATACATGTTGAATCTCTGATTTTATACTAGAAATTAATTATTATTATTAAGTCTTATATTTTATATATTTAAATCTCATACTATTCTTCACTATCCAATCATTATACTTGATTTTAATAACTATGTTGACGCTAATTCTATAAAAATTATTTTAAAATTAACCAGGGAGATGAATTATGAGATGGCCGTTCAACACAGCAAAATGAGGTTGTATTGGTGCTAACTACTCGAGAACTTTAAGCGTAAGAAGGAAAAAAGAAAAATAAGAAATATTATAAATACTTACTTAAAGAAAATAACAGTAAAGTAAATAAAATAAATATAATTATATAATTCTAGATAAAATTATTATTATATTATTTTTTTATTTAGGCCTGACTACCCCTAGTGAAAAGGGCTAAGCCCAGTCAGCCATTCGGAACTGGAATATTATATGTTCTAGCTTGTCTGGTTCTAAGATTACACTGGAAGAAGCTAATAGGATAAAGACTTTTTAAAAAAACTTTTTATAAAAAATATAAAAAAATAATAATAAAATAATTAAAAAAAAATAAATAATTAAATCTTATTTATACTAGATAATCTTTCTTCTTCAATAAATTAATTTTTTTTAAACTAGATTTTATATTTAATTTATTATAGTTTCTTAGTCTTTTATAATTTTAATTCATTTTTCTTTTTACTGTAATATTAGAATAAAGATAATAGTTAAAAATAGTAAAAAACTAATAATTAATATATTAAATAATTATAAAAATCTATTCTAGAATAAATTTATTAACTGATTAGTAAAATAAATTTAGAAATTATTAATATAAAATATAAAAATATAATATATTATCACATAGTAAAATAATATAATTAATAATAAGATTAGAACTAATCTTAAATATATTAAAAAATTTATTAATAATTAGATTCTACTTTTTTAAATATTTTTATTAATATTTTATATACTTTATCTAGCCCCCTTTAAAGAATCTAAAAATATAAAAAAATCTAAATTTTTTATTTCTATATTCTTTAATAGAAAAAATAAAAATAAGTTTCTAGAATAATTTAATAGTATCTAAATAAAAATTAAAATTAATTAAAAATTTATTAATAATTTAAATAATTAAGTTTAATATATCTTTCTATTTCTTGATAAAAAATTAAAATAAAGATTAATCTATAGATTAATTGTGACGGCGGCTCCGTCTAGGATCACGTGATTATGTTTGTTTTGTTTACTTTGCTGTTGTTTTTTTCAAGCGAGTGCTTATAATACTTCTTGTTTTTCTTTTTTCTCTTTTTATGCTTAAAGTTCTAGAGTAGTTAGTACTAATATGATCTTATTTTATTATATTGAATGGCTATTTTATAACTTTAAGTATTATTCTTTATCTTTTTTTTACTATTATATATAACTAGCTCTTGCTAAACTGTTAATAATCTTTATTTATATTCTTAGCAACGCTTAACAGCCAAAAATCTACTTAAATAAATAAAATAAACAAGTAAAATAGCTAGAGAAAATAATTAAATCTTAGATTCTAAAGATTACTAGTAACTTTCTATAATATTACTTGATAAATTAGATTAGAAAAATAGGTTTAACTAGATTAAATTTAATATTTAATACCAGAAAAATTTAAAATAAACTTTTAAAATTCTTCTGAAGATTTTTAGTAATCTAGAGACTAAAAGAAATAATCTTCTTGATAAATAAGATTAGTAAAATCAGGAAATAATTACTTTTATTTAAAAATAAGATAATATTACTAAAAAGAGAGATATCTTTATAATATAAATTATTTATTAGATTTTAATTACTTTCCAAGATGCAACTATCTCTAAATCTAAAAGAGTAATAAAGATCTCTAATCTATCTTTATTTAGTAATAGAAAGGACATTACTTTTGAAAACTAGATATTGGCTATGTGTCAGAAGCTGGAAGCCAATACTGACCAGTTTGCTGAGACAGCTGTTCAACATAGTAAAATAAGGTCATATTAGTGCTGACTACTCTAGAACTTTAAGTGTAAAGAGAGAAAAAAGAAAAATAAGAAGTATTATAGACACTCACTTAAAGAAAATAATAATAAAATAAATAAAATAAATATAATTACGTGATTTTAGATAGAGTTATTATTATATTATTTTTTTATTTAAGCCTGACTGTCCTCAGTCAAGAAAATATTATTATTATTATAATTTATAGTGAATTTATTATTTTCCATAGTTATGATTTATATGGGGAGTTATCTAGATAATCTAGAATAATCTAGATAATAAATATAAAAATTATATAAATAAAAAGATATATTTTTAAAATTACTAGTAGAATACTACTTGTAGTTATTTTTATTAAAATCTATCTATTTTATATAATATTATAGAGTTTTTATTTATAAATAATTTTTTAAGATCTTTTCCACTTCCTACTTGGTATAATTATTAATTTTAATTAAAAAAGCCTGGTCTAAGATTTATTTAGATAATAATTTTAAAATATTATAAAAATAAAATTTATTAAAATAAAAAATAAAATAGATTTTTATATTATTAAATAATTAAACTTGAAACATATAGTTGATTTTTTTAATAATAATTATTAGATTATACTAGTTTTTTAATAGTTTTTAGAATAGTTACTTCTAATACTAGTTTTTAATATTTATATAAATCTTATCTTTAATATTAAAATTCACGGATTAATACTATTAGTTAACTATATAAGTCTAAATTTATTAAATAATTTATATATTTCTTTTTAATAATTTTTATATCTATTTTATACAACAGGCCAGGGCTCAGGTTTATTATTAATTAATAATATTTATAATAGAGATCTGGAGTGGTATTTAATTAAAAAAAATATAAAATTTATATTTTTACTTAATTATAAAAAGTAATAATCCTATAAATTCTTAAGATAGAACTATAAAAATAAAATTAATTAATAGTAAGAATTCTGATTAGTTATTTTAATAATAATTTATAAAAAAAATAAGTTTTTATACCGTGTACTGGTTTATAATTTTAATTTATTTATTAATTTAAAAATAATATATTATTAATAATTTAAATTTTACTTATAATATATGATACAACTTATTTTAAAATTTTAATATAAATTATTTTTTTTAATCTAATATAATTATATTTAAAAATTTTAATTAAAAATATATGTATTCCAGGAAGAGCTAGATTATATTTTATATAAATATAATTTTTATATATAATATTAAAATAATTTATTTAC